GGTTTCTATCTATCTATGTAGTTCAACTTGATGCGGTGTAATTGTTATCAAGCTTCTCTCGCTGTAACAATTATGCCTGAGTAGTGAGTTCGATCCTCACTGGGTACCCCCTACTTTCGGCCTTGTGCCACATCTAAATTACGCTTGGAATATTCCTGTACTTTTTCTGTCTGTTTTATTAAACCTGCTTTCTATCTCTCTCTCTGTCTGTATCGCTTCATTATCTATCTATCTATCTATCTATCTATCTATCTATCTATCTATCTATCTATCTATGTCGCTTCGTTACCTGTCTATTTGTCTGTCTATCGATCTATCTAATCCAACTCTTTCACGCTTGATATTGAGAGCAAATTTTTGAGAAATAATTTTATCAAAGAACAAACCGAAACAAATAAGCAACAAATAATAATAATAATAATAATAATAATAATAATAATAATAATAATAACGTATAAGTTGATCACGTCTGTCCTGACAAACCGTACTTATTCCTTTCTCGAAACAAACAGTACTCTTCCGCTGGAACAGAAGAGATGCAGAAGAGATTCATATGGCTGCAAAGATCAACTTCTGATAAATAAAATGATCCTGGAAAATTGCAGGAGACGACATAGAAAGCTTAGTGAAGCGTGGATTGATTATCGTAAAGCCTTTGATAGTGTTCCACATTCTTGGATCCTTAAGACTTTGGAAATGTACAAAGTCTCCCCTGTGGTATTAAATTTCCTTAAGTACAGCATGGGAATGTGGAACACCAAACAATACCTTAGTCACACCATATCCAACCGTCTGAATATCCGACGTGTAATCTTTCAAGGAGACTCTCTGTCACCCCTTCTGTTTTGTTTATCCTTAATTCCTCTTACACATGAACTGAACAACAGTAGCTATGGTTACAAAATAAATAAGAAAATATTCAATCACCTACTCTACATGGATGATCTCAAACTCTTTGCCAAAGACGACAATGAGTTGAAAGGCCTCCTCAATATTGTAAAATACTTCAGTGACGACATAGGTATGGACTTCGGATTAGATAAATGTGCAAAAGTAACTTTCAAGAAAGGTAGAACTACAGAAATACCCTTAATAGATTTAGATTTTGTCACAAAGATTAGGGAACTGGAGCATGGTGAGGCTTATAAGTACCTAGGAATTAGCGAAGGAGATGGCATACAACACCCCCAATGAAGGAAAAAATAAGAAAGGAGTACTACAGGCGTGTACGTCTGGTACTAAATACTGAGCTAAACTCAAAAAACAGAATATCAGCCATAAACACATTGGCTGTCCCTGTGGTGCAATACAGCTTTAATGTCATTAACTGGACAATAGCTGAAAATAAGCGAATGGACGCCAAAACGAGAAAGCTTCTCACTTGCTATCGCATGCATCATCCCAAAGCTGATGTTGATCGTCTGTATGTGCCAGAGATGGAGACAGAGGATTAGTTCAACTAGAACTGTCCTACAAAACTACAACAATTGCCCTCCAAAGATACTTGGAAACTACAGAAGACTGAATGGAACATGAAAGTAGTAAGCGTCTTTACTCCGTAATGAAAGAAGCCAACAGATTCAAAATGGAGTTTCAAATGGGCGTAGAGATGCAACTACAACACAATACACCGGTTGAAACTGCAAAATACTTAAAAAAGACAGCAAAGACGAATGCAACCGACCAGATACAGAAGCGATGGCAAGATAAACCGCTTCATGGCCAATACTCTACCCGTACCAAACAAGCTGACGTAAACAAACCCCGTATCCATCAGTGGCTACGCAGTGCAGGGTTGAAAGGGGAAACTGAAGGTTTTATCCTTGCTGCGCAGGACCAATGCTTGTTAACTAGGAATTATCAAGCACATATACTAAAATATTGTGTCAGCCCAAAATGCAGATTCTGTGATAAATATCCAGAAACGATTGATCATCTTCTATCAGGTTGCACGATATTGACACCCACTGAATATAAAACCCGACATGACAGAGTGGGCCAATATCTGCACTGGAAAATCTGCAACTTCTACGGGAAGAAAACTGAAAGAAACTGGTATGAACACCACCCAGACCCGGTTACGGAGATAGGACCTGTTACAATTCTATGGGACTACACATTACACACTGACATAACAATCAAGGTCAATCGGCCAGATATTGTTATTAAAGACCACAAACAAAAACGATGCCTCCTTATTGATATGGCAGACTCTGCTGACTGCAATGTATCTTTGAAGATATTCAAAAAGCTGTCAAAATACAAGGACCTTGAAATAGAAATCTCGAAAATGTGGCATATGGGAACATCAACAATCCCTGTTGTAGTTGGAGCCCTAGGACTGGTTGGAAAAGATTGCAGTAGACTAGTTGAAGGGATTCCTGGAAGTTCATGCCTCAAGGAGATACAAAAAATTGTTCTCATAAGTACAGCCCACACTTTACGAAGGGCTTTATCTATATAAAATACTTTATTTGCCAGTGGAAAGTGACATGATGCC